TTTTTTTAATTTTGTAAAGTTTTGTGAAGTCAGTTTTAATGTATTCTGATATTTGAGTTGATATTATGATGGGGGTTTCCTTCTCTTAACTGTAACTCCTGTTTCTCATAATGTTGCCAATACCAGATCAGTTAAAGACTGGTAAGTTCTTTGTAGAGTCCAGAGATCAACTCTTTAATTTAATTCCATGTGAGCTGTTACATCAATGTAAACGTAGATGTCTCCTGTACTGATGTAACAGCTCCCATGGGATGTATAGTATATATCGTTTTGTGATTCGCTGTTTCTCTTGTGGATTATCAGCAAACTGTGTTTTCATTCCATCTACTTAATTAATTTAAGATTTCTATTAAGACTAAAAGAAAAGGGTATTTTCTAGGATTTTGAAGCAATAATAGCTCCCTGATCTGATTGAATTCATATTAAGGATGACGTCCTTAAAATTTCATTACCTTGTACTTACGATTGTGATAAATTTATCTGTTGTTGGATATAAACTAAAATCATTGATTGCTTGTGAAGACAAGATTTCAATCAATTTTCATTCCTTATACCTGTTTGAGTGAAATTTAAACAAAGGTGATTTAATCTAGTCTGGGATAGATACTTGGTAGTTAAGTGGTAATATCTGTGTACTTAGGAACTTAAATGTTACCCTTTCTTTTTTAATGTGTATATGTGCCATTTTGCATTTATTTAGAACCCCAGAAACCTATGAAGAAATTTGTTGTTGGCTCAGCTTTGCTTTGCTGTGAAGATCCTTGAAATTAAAAAGAAGTATATAAATCAAGGGGCACTAATTAAACCCGTCGCCTGAATTAATTTCCCCTGCAATTTCCTGCACTTATGACACCGAGGACCAGCACCAGCCCTCATTGTTAATCTCTAAATTGGTGGCACTGGAGCGCCTGGCTGGTAGGCAGCCAAACGTACACCGCGACTCGCCTCTCGCCGCCGCCCGCCTGCACGATAGGCAGCCCAACTGGCGCGCAATGCCCGCATCTTGCCTACAGACTGACAGCGTCGTCACCCGTTTGGTCGAACACACCAGTTAAAGAGCATTTCTCGCTGACTGTGTGGCGGTCATGGTTCGTCCGAGGTGGCCTGCTGGTGGTCCAATGTCCCCGCTGTCCGACGCGACCCGGGGGGAGTGCGACACACGCCTTCCGTCTCTCTCGAGCAAAACGCCTCCTCCAGTGGGAGGGACGCGCCTCCAATATTTATAATGAAAAGGCGATAAACTCCGCGGGAGGACGTCGTGCGGCCTTCCTTATCTCATCCCTTATCACTGGCCGCGATCGCCGCGGTGCGCGGGGGAGGCCTCGCTGCTCGCGGCTCGCGTGATGCGCGCGTGTTCTCACGGCGTCGTGTGTCATTCACTTCGCTCGAGAATGACACGACCGGCGGCGAGAAGAGGAGGGGAAAGGAAGAGCCATTAGCCCTTCTGAAGCTCGCGGATTATTTACAAGCCTCTCCCAAGGCCCTTGTTGTGCTCGCTGGCCGCAAATGTACATTTGCATGCCGTGGCCGAGAGCCGACGCGAGAATAAGATATGCATAATTTTGGGGCATTTTCGTTTTGTTGGGTGTGAATAATTCTCGCAGTCGCAGGCTCCAGGTGTAGCGGGTGCGGCCGCGGCGGCCTTGCTTGGACCAGCGGCGGCAGCTATTCATGCGGGTGTGTTCAAACGTTTTGTGGCGTCGCCGCGATTGCATGTGAGACGACCTGCAGTTGTTGAACCGACGTCGGCGAGTCTTGCACCGCGGAACAGCGGCAGCGGCAGGGGAGGTTTCCAAGCGACAGGTGCGCTGCAGCTGCAGTCGCGGCAGCGGCGGCAGCAGCTGCCCGCGACTGGACGACGCAGGAACCTGACCCTGAGCCTGAGCACGGGCGCCACCGGGCACTCCGAGGTGCGCGATCATACATGGAGGAGAGTATCCCACGGCCTCGACCGCGACGTTGCTCTGCGCTGCGCCGCGCCGGCCAAACGCACGCCGCCGCCGCCCGACGCCGTCAGCGCGTTCCGGCAGTTCCGAGCAGATAGCCTCCGCTGGTGGCGGCGAGGGAAGCCCCAAGTCCCCAAGACCGCCCCGGTTCACTACCAGCATCCCCTGCGCTCACGTCGGGCGACGCCCGCGTCCTCCGCGGCGCGAGGGGAAGCCTATAGCCGCAGCAGCGCCTCGCGGTCGCGCCTTCCACGTCCTTCGCGGTGGTCCAGGCAGGCGTGGCCGCTGCTCCGACCAAGGAAGGATAATGAGCTGGGCCAGTGAGAAGAGGAACCTCATCCCGCCGGCTAAAAATTAGAGAGGAAAAATGACATGCCGGGTGTGTCCTTGGTTGTGGCACCTGCAGCCCGCGCGGTGACATGCCTCGCGCGGGTCCTCGTGGCACCTGCAGCCTCCCTGCCTGCAGCCATCGCTCCCATTCTATGCAGATAGGTCTCGACTTGCTGGGACGCTCAGCTATGCGGCCCGCGGGGCGTGGGACAAGGAGATGATGGGCCCTCCTAGCGGAGAGCAGTCAACGCCCGGGCCGCGCGACCATATCCCGCACCGTTCTCTCCAGTCGTCATCAGGATAGTGTGCAGCGAGGAATTCCGATTCCGTCGTCGCGCGCGCGAGGGGTCAGAGGGGGGCATGTCACCCTGCCAGAGAGAAGCTCATCAGTCTCCGCGAGACTCGCAAGAGAGCGGCGGTGACGGCTTGCGGTGAACGTCTCGTTGTGCAGGCAGCAGGTGCCACGCCGCGCCGCGCCGCGCCGCGCCGCGCCGTGCAAGTTCAAGGCCAAGGGAAGAGACCCCGGCGCCGTACGGCGCGGACGTGTCCTGTTTCGGCTTGGTCGGGGGCTTCCCTCTCCTTGCCTTACCTTACCTCACGGCACCGCGCCTTACCCCTTTCTCGCCCGCGGTCCAGGCCCAGGCCCGGCGCGGAAGAGCCCCTCTGGCCGCTTGGTTGTCGGGTCGCCGCGCGGAGACAATGCCCTGGCCTGCGCGGCCCGGGAGGCCCCCGGAGGCCCGGAGTGGAACCGCTCAGAGCGCTCCGCGCGGCGCTCACTTCCTTATCTAGAACCCAATTAGGGTGACGAGACGAGAACGGCGCGCGCGCGCGCAATACCCCACAGTCATCGGCAGCCATTGGCCTCTGCTCCGCCGAGGCTCTCCTCTGCTTCTCCGCGCCCCGCGGCCCCACCCCGCCCCGCGTGCGGTAGGTAAAGCCGTTTGCGGGAGCAGCAGAGGCGCCGCGGGAGGTTTGTCACGCTGCCGTCGCAGCCGCACGACGCGACAAGACAGACGAGGAAACAGACGACGACGCGACAGTCAATCGGATCAGAGTAATTGAGACGCGCGACCGCCCCGCCCC